TTGGAATAAGCAGGAAGGACCGCCCGTTGGCTCGCACGTCTTTGGCGGTGCCCTGGGCCCCGCCGCCCCCCTTGTCCTTTTGCGCTGGCTGTGCGCAGCGGGTCTGCATCCACCTTAACTTTGTGCGGCGCAAGCGTCTCGGCGGTGGATGAATTTATTTTTGTAGGAACTTGTAGAAATAACCTGTCGCGCGATGGGGGTGAATAAAAGTAAACGATAGTGTTTTTTTTGTGGGGCTATCCCGCTTTGTTTTTTTCTTGTTTGACGGAGTTTTGTTTCCAGAGATCCCGCGTTGGACGGCAGCGAGTGCAGTTTTTTCTGTTTTCTGTCGCGCCCCTCCCCTGCCCCGCTAGTCTTCACGCGGGGGAGTCCGGCGGCGGCAGTGCCCCAAACGCTGCCAGTCTGGGTGGCCCAGCGAGTCCGGCGATCGGTGGACGGCTTTTTTAATGCACTTCCTTGACGGGTGCGTGGGTGGAGGGTGGGGCTGCTCGTGCGCGTGGGGCGCACGCGGGGCCGAGCTGTGATCTTCCGTTGTTTTCCTTTCACCCTGCAGGCGGAAGGAAGGAGGCCGCGCCCGGGCAACGCACCCGCCGTTCTTTTTATGCAGCGGCCCTTTGGCCGGGGAGCGGGGAGGCCGGCGAGGAGCATGAGCGCGGCTGCGGGCCCACGGCCGTCGGGCTGAGCCGCCTTGTCGCGCTTGCGACTTTTTGCTGCCTCGCGCGGGCGGGGCGCGGGGTGGGGACGTCGGCGGGCACTCCGCGTGGGGCCCGAGCCCCCCGCCGCACGGTGAGGGGCCGCGGGCGCCTTTTACCGGCACCGAGGAAAAGGTTGTTGCACGACGCACGCCGCTGCGTGCCGCGCGCAGCCTGACGCGGCGCCGGGCCTTTGGGCGCCCTCTCTCAGAGCCGCCCAATTCGGCCGTCCCACGAACAGCGCGGCACTTCCTGTCGCACGCGACGGGACGCCCGACCGACGGTGGAAAACGCGGCGCACGACCGCAAAGAGCCGGCCTCTGGCGCCGCGGCCTTCGCAGAGGCACGCGCGGTTTCTCCGCTTTTTTTGGCGGCCCCCATTGCCGCGGCAGCGTTGTCCCTGCGGGGGGGCGGGGGTGGGGGATGTGCGATCAGGGGCGGGGCCCCGCGCCCCCGCCCGGCCGCGCTGGGTCGTGGGGTGTCCCCGCGGTCTGGCGGCCGCGCGGCCTGGCGGTGCGCCCCGAGGCGCCGCGAATCGCCGGGGGCGGGGCGCAGCGGCGACGGCAGAAAGCACGCGCCAGCGCCGCGTGCGCAGAGACGGCCTCGCGCCAAGGGGAAGGCGACGCCGCGTGGGGCCCTTGGCCGGAGCGCGCGCCGGCGGAAGAGGGGCGCCCCCGCCACCCACGGGCCGCGCGGGGGGCACAAAACAAAACAGAAACGCCCGGTTGGGGGGGGGGGGAACCGCGAGAAAATAATCACAGGGCCGCGGGTCGCGCCTGCCGTCCCTATTCGAGGGGGCCGGTTTGCATCACGCAAAAGGAAGCCGGGGGATGCGCCGGGGCGTTTTGCGGCGGCCGGGCTCCCGGGGGGGCTCGCGGGGCGGCGGGAGGGCAGAGCCGCGCCCACCGGCACCCCAGCGCGCACCCGCAGGAAACACACCACGCCAGCACGTGAAGGAAATAACAAAACTAACGAAAAAACACAACGCCTTTCTTTGGCCTCCGCTGGCCACCCGCCCCCTCCACAGCCCCACGGCAAATACATACATAAACAAGGAGAAATCGACGCAACACGCACGCTGCGGCAGCGCGCGGTTATATGCGCCGACGGACGTGGACGGTGACAGCCGGTTCCTCCGTCGTAGAGCACACTTCCTCCGCCGCGGGCAATGACGGCCGGCTGGAGCTGCCGCGTCGCTTGCGCCACCCCGGA